ACGTTTTAGCATTTTACCCTTTAAAAACATGGGTTTCTTATTGTTAAAAATTATTTTTGTATTTGATAAAGATCTAATTATTAGAATTATTAGATAAAAATACCTTAAATACAAGATTTAATGTGAGAGAATGTGAGTTAATACCTTAAATATAAGACATAATGAGAGGAAATTAAATAAGGTAAAAATTATAAATGATATTACATTATTAGCTCTTAGAATTAAAGAGGGACTAAATTCAAAAATAGGGGTACTTTAGTAAAGTTCCACACTTTCATTGGTACTTTTAGTGGTATAAATAAATATACTATATGTACATCTATATGTATGTATGTATGTATGTATAAAATAAAAGTAAATACACACAAAAAATTCCGACTTCGTACGGAAATTTTAAATTATAATAAAAATTATTATTTATTAAATTTGGTATTTTATTTCCATCATAAATAAAAATTAACAATTATTTTTATTTGATATGATGAATATATAACATTAGAAATGTTCCCGAATGTTTTAGACAAAATTCTATACTATTTCATTTTTTGTGTTTTATCTTTTTTAATTATTTATTATTTAATTTTGACACCATGAGTTAATTTGAAAAGTTGGATAACTGACCCATAGAAAAACAGTTTTGCTTTTATATCAATTTTAAATTATATATTTCATCTACATTATATAAATAATGTTTTACTTATTACACTTAATCTTTGTTTGATATAATTAATATATTAGAAACATGTTCACGTTTTTTTATAATTTTATATTCTTTTGATTAGTTTTACTTTTTAAAGATTTATTATTTAACTATGACATCATCGATTAATCCATTTGACCCAACCGACGATCCAAAAAGGAAAATAGTTTGGTTTTTAGATTTTCTCTAGTTTTTTATTTTTGTGATTCTTTTTATTTTCTATTTTTTAAATTTTATTATTTGACTATGACATCATTTCATTTCTAGGTTGATTTGGATTTGACATTCCATTTTCATCATTAATAAAAGCACTTCTTATATTTTATATTTATTTTGTTTAGTATAAGGAATATGCAATATTAGAGATATGCCCAATTACTTTTGTTTTTTCTATATTTTATATTTTATTTATTTTAAGCCTGGCCAAATGGTTGAATTGCTTACCCACCACTGAGAGGGAAGAAAATGGTTTTGTTTTCAAATTACTTTTCAAAATATTTATTTTTATAGTGTTAAAATTAATGTTGTGAATTTACTTAGTAGAATTTAATGATGAGAAAAATATATCTCAAATATAAGATTTAATGAGAGAATATAACTTAGATATGCAATTTAATGAGAGAGAAGAGAATAGGAAAATAGTTATATTTCCAATTGGTTTTCAATTTTATATTCCATTTCCATAAATAATAAACATATTTCATATTTATCATAATTATTATTATTTAATATGTTGAATATATGCTATTAAAAATGTTCCTAAATTTTTCTTTAATTTCTATATATATTTTTTAATTTTATCTATTTTGAATTTTTTATTATTTAATTGTAGCAACATGCATTGGCCCATTTGACCCAAAATGGATTAATTTCTTATCAATACTTAGATAAAAACATTATTTTTTCCATGTAGATTTTAAAAGTATAAGTTTTTATGTTATTAGAATTATTAATTTATTATGTATGCATTTAATTAGTGAAATTTAGTGGTGAGAATAAATAAAATGCTTTAAATATATGATTCAATGAGGGTGAATGGGAGTTCATACCTTAAATGTAGGATTTAATGAAGGAATTGAATGCATTGAATAATAGTATTCAATTTACATTGTTTACCCTCACAATAAAGGAACCATATTTCAAAAAAGGGGGTATTTTAGTCAAGAAAAATTTCAGAAATTTTAGATATTCATACTTTATATATATATATATATATATATATATATATATATATATATATATATAATAGTATGATAATATTATAAGTATACTGTGAGTATGATCAGTTCGAAACAATCAAAACCGATCCAATATTATCACCTGGACATGTAATGTGGATCCAAATATTTCATGGGTTTGATTTGATTTTGTCGGTTCTACCAATTTTTTTTCCACCCCACCCTTGGGTTCTATCCCACTCTTACCTAGGGCTGTCAATGGGTCAAGGTTTAGATTGGGACAGTATTTATCGGTCCCATACCGATTATTAATTAATTAATATAAAACTATAGACCCAGAATTGTCCCGATTATCAGTGGGACTAGTGGAATGCAATCCACCCAATTATACTGATATTAATAATTATTTATGTAAAAACAACTTAAAACTTGATTTTTGATAATGTAATGGTATAACCTAAGGTTGTGTTTGATTGCAATGCAAATGATTTTAGTGTAAAATTTGACTTATTTTTGTTTCAAATTTCAGCTTATTTTGTTTGATTGGAGTACAAATAAAGTAAATTAAAACATGAAGTAGAACAAAGTAAGACCCAAAACAAAATTAAAGGAGAATTTGCATTTTTTTTTCCATTTGCACCCCCACACATTTATATTAATGCAAAAAAATTGCAGTGCAACCAAACACAACCTAAAATAAAAATGCAAGTAAAATAATATGTTAATAAACCAACTGTTTTTTACCAAAATTATGGTATATTATCTATTAAATTTATCTTTTAAGACAAAAAATATAATAAAAATTAGAATCCATTATATTGTTAACAAAATAATTGATTTGGATCTGAATAGATTCGAACCAAAATCGACCCAATTGTTAATCGGGCTAAGATCACATAACCAGAACCGATATAATCGGTTTGGTCGATCTGGTAGAATCGACCCGTTGAATCATTGCAGCCCTGCCCATACATATCATATATCACTTCTGCGTTATTGAATTCATCGTCACGAGACGGCCATTACTTCAAACGGGGAAGGGTATTTTCGGAATATAATTTGAAATTGTGGTCACATTCAAAAATCAAAAATCAAAAATAAAAAATCCAAAAGGGAACGAGCGGCGGTACCAAGGCTCAAGGGTGGAGCGTGGAGGATTGAGGGCAATCGTGTAAATATTGAAGCCTTGAGGGGCGAGGTTGCTTGAATCCAACATGAATTGAGAAAAAGCTAAGCGCCGAGAGCTCTAAAAAATTAATCAAAATCAAAATTTACAAAAAAGTAGAAAGGGATTGCATCATCATGTTCGTCCATTTCAAACGGTCAGAAATGAAAAATTAACGGAACCTTAACGACGTCAACGTTAAATACCAATTATTCCTTGGTTTTTGAATTTTTTGGGTTTAAATCAAACGTCGCTTAACGGTAATGGGTTCCTGTCATTATTAACACTTGATGTTCTGTTTCTACACCACCTACACGAGTCAGAGTCTTCAGTATCTCTGCTGTCTCCTACTCCTACTCGTCAATTCAAAATTTAAAAACAAACAAACAAAAAACGGAGAGTGCTCACGAGTTTATTCGAAACCGATTCACAGCTCGAAATCGTCATAGCCATTGTTTCTGGAATATTTTTTCTTCTACAGATTTGTTTTATAGAGATTTTACATTCTTCTTGAATTTTTCTTCCACATTTCGTGGACTCACTTTGCTGGCCTTTCACTTGACTGTAAGTGTTTCAGCTTGATTCAACAATCTTATTTGCATAATCTGCGTTTCTAGTTGCGAATGTTTGACCGATCGTTGTCGATCAGACTGTGAATCTCCACTACATTTAGGTTTTTTTTATTTATTTTAACAATAATTAAGTTTTAGTGATTACTGTGTACCTCTTTTATTGCATTTTTCGTTGCATATTTGTTCTTGGATGGAGCTTTGCACTTCTTAAATCGGTTCTTCCTTTTTCCTATCACACTCTCGTCTCTTTTCCCTTTATTGTTCTTTCGTCACTTTTTGCCCTTGTGTTATCTCTCAAGCTTCGATTTTTGGATTTTCCAATAGTTTGCTTGATTATTGGAATTGCATTAGTGTTTCGGAGTGGGTTTTTGGATTTTTTATTCTGGGGATAAATGAATATGGACATCTTGTTCTTTTACATTTTCAGATTTCCAGCTGATGTTCCTAATAGATTTTTGTTTTTTATTTAAACTCTTTTACTACATTCTTTTTGCAGGAAAATTAGAGGCTTATTATGGACTCTTCACAGCATAGGAGAGGGGGACTTATCCCCGTTTCTCCGTCTCATACTCCACGATCAAGTGACAGGGCTGCAAGAGATTTGAGATCAGGGGATGGAAACGCAAAACATGACAAGGGAGTGAATGTCCAGGTTCTTCTCCGTTGCAGGTTAGTGAAAAGTTCGATTTTTCGCTTGAATTTCTAGTTAATGGGGCAAGTTATACCAATAACAGATGATAACGTTATGCATTTTTTAGACCTTTGAGCGAAGATGAGATGAGGGTGAACACACCTGTGGTCATTTCCTGCAACGAGCATAGACGAGAAGTATCTGCAATTCAGAACATAGCAAACAAGCAGATTGATAGAACCTTTGCATTTGACAAGGTTTGACATTTAAAATCTTCCCCTACTCTGTCAGAATTCTCACACTTATTTTGACAGATATACAATTCGAAACATTTTTTTTTAAATGGATTATGCTCAGCTCAACTCAACGAAGCCTTACCCCAACCATACGAGCTTAGCTACACGAATCCTATTTCACAACACTACCGGGGGCCATGTCATCTGCTGAATATTGGATAATAACGGTGGGTATTTATTTGTAGGTTTTTGGTCCAACATCCCTACAGAAGGACTTGTATGACCAAGCTGTCTCTCCTATTGTAATTGAAGTTCTTGAAGGTTATAACTGCACAATTTTTGCATACGGTCAGACGGGTACAGGGAAAACGTACACAATGGAAGGAGGGGGAAGGAAATCGAAGGTTCTGTTCTTTTTCTTGTACGTGAATTAGCTTTATATTTATCTTTATTTACTTTCCATTATGAATTCACCTCTGCTTCCTCTTCTTCACTTTGCTTTTGTAGAATGGGGATTTGCCAAGTGATGCAGGTGTTATACCTAGAGCAGTTGGACAAATTTTTGATATACTTGAAGCTCAAAATTCTGAGTACAGTGTGAAGGTTACGTTTCTAGAGCTGTACAATGAAGAAATAACAGATCTTTTGGCACCTGAAGAATGTACGAAGTTCATTGATGACAAGTCAAAGAAACCAATAGCCCTTATGGAAGATGGAAAAGGTGGTGTTTTTGTGAGAGGCTTGGAGGAGGAGATAGTCTGTACTGCAAATGAAATATACAAAATATTGGAGAAAGGTTCTGCTAAAAGGCGTACCGCAGAAACTCTCCTCAACAAGCAAAGCAGTCGTTCTCACTCAATATTTTCTATTACAATTCACATCAAGGAGTGTACACCCGAGGGGGAAGAAATGATCAAATGTGGAAAACTTAATCTTGTTGACCTTGCTGGTTCTGAGAACATATCACGTTCTGGTGCACGAGAGGTAAGCAGGTTACTATGGTTAGTAGCACAAATGCAGAACTTATCACATTCCTTGTAAGGTTGATATATGTTCTCTTGGCATAAAATGCTGATATGTGCATGTGTATACATATGCTTTTATGCTCAAGTGCACATATCCTTAGTAGGGATAAATGGCATTCTTGTAGATGCAATAATATTGCTTAATCTGTCTTAGTGGTCAATATGAAATTATGATTTAAGACAGCTTTAGTAAATTTGTAATCTTCTAGATGTGGCTATAACAAAACCTATGCTTGCAGGGAAGGGCAAGGGAAGCAGGGGAGATTAATAAAAGCTTGCTTACACTTGGCCGTGTCATTAATGCACTTGTTGAACATTCTGGCCATGTCCCATATAGGTATTGTTTATGAATCCAATATAACATTTCCTAGTGACATGTAGCGTATGTTGATAAAACTATAATGTGTAAAAAAATAACAAGGATATTGCTTGGTCTGTCAGGGATAGCAAATTAACACGGTTGTTAAGGGATTCCTTGGGAGGAAAGACAAAGACATGCATAATTGCCACAATATCACCTTCTATCCACTGTTTGGAAGAGACACTCAGCACTCTGGATTATGCACACCGTGCCAAAAACATCAAGAATAAACCAGAGGTTAGGGATTCGGTTGCTTTGTTGGTTTCTGTTTCTTTGTGCGTTTTTAGTCAAGATGTTTTCCCTTGGACTCTAATTTAATATTCTTGGATGACTTCTTGATTTTGTCAGATTAATCAGAAGATGATGAAATCTGCACTGATAAAGGACCTGTATTCTGAGATTGACCGCCTTAAGCAAGGTTGCTGATAAATTTCCTACTTGGGGCTGCTTGGTCTTACTTTTGAACCATCAATCTAATAAAATGCTGAAATATAATTTTTGATAAATATTTAACTTCTTCTCAACAAAATGGATGCTTCAAATCATAGATGTAAAAGTAGTGTCTGACAGATTTGATGTTGTATTTTGTTATTTATCTCCCACCAGAGGTATATGCCGCCAGAGAGAAGAATGGCATCTATATACCACGGGACCGTTACCTGCAAGATGAGGCTGAGAAGAAGGTCCAGCTCTTTCTTTTTTCAATTGAATTATGAGTTACTCTCTCCAATGAAAACTGCATTTCAGAGTTTTTCACTGACTTGGAAATTTCATCCATTATTGCCATCTGTTTCTTTGCCCAGGCCATGGCTGAGAAAATAGAACGCATGGAAATTGATTCAGATTCCAAGGACAAGGTAGTTCTATATTTCTAAAATTTGTTAGGGGCTTACAGGCCTTAAGATTTCCTGTTAAAGAGGCTTGACTAATTAACAATATGTTGCAAGTAGCAACTCCTGGAGCTTCAAGGACTTTACAATACCCAGCAACAGTTGACTGCAGAATTAAGTGAAAAACTCGAAAGGACTCAGGTACGATGTGGTTGAATGTTCATCTTCTAGAAACTCTCACTTGTCAATAGAACTATTTCACTATTTCTATCCACTTTTCAGCAAAAGAAACTAAACTACTTCCTATTCTTCTTTTGTTTGCATGCCTACTGCAGAAAAAGCTTCAAGACACTGAACATGCACTATTTGATCTAGAGGAAAGATATAGACAAGCAAATGCTACAATTAAAGAACAGGAGTATCTGATTTCCAATCTCCTCAGATCTGGTGAGCGAAGTGCCATCAAATTTTTTTATGCATCTTGTGCAATGGTTTCTAATATTTATGTGATTGACATAATGACATTGCACCTTTTAGTCCCAAGGGAAAACTTTTCTCCATTTTTTTCATCTTGTAGTATAGCAGCCTGTTGGTAGCATGGGTATATGTTTTGACTATGTTTGACTACTATGTTTCATTAGTTAGGGATATTTGACAAATCCAATGGCACTTCAGACACTGACATGTAGCCTTGATCTTTTAGAGAAAGCACTTGTTGAACGGGCAACTGAACTTCGGGCAGAGCTAGAGAATGCAGCATCGGACATATCTGGCCTGTTTGCCAAAATTGGTTTGTACTCATGTTTTTGAGAAGTAGATTGCTTAGGATTTTATCCTTTACTAGGAAATGTCTGCAACTTTCTTTTGCTTATTCTGCTATGCTTGATCGTCTACAGAGAGGAAGGATAAAATAGAAAATGGAAACAGAATTCTTATCCAGAAATTCCAGTCTCAACTAACTCAGCAGCTTGAAGTCATGCATAAGACTGTTGCAACTTCTGTGACACAACAGGAGCATCAACTGAAAGAAATGGAGGAAGATATGCAGTCATTTGTCTCCACAAAGACTGAGGTAGAATACATTTTCTGAAGGTGATAAAATCATTCCCAAAATCTTAATCAGTAACCTGAATATATTGTTCTATCTCATCATCTTTCTGTAGGCCACAGAAGAACTTCAAGGACGAGTGTCAAATCTGAAAACCATGTATGGTTCTGGTATAAAAGCATTAGATGATTTAGCAGGGGAGCTTAATGAGAATTCTGAGTCTACATTCAACCATCTAAACTCAGAAGTTTCTAGGCATTCATCTGCCTTTAAGGATGTAAGAATTGCTTACTGCGTTTTTTTTTTCCTTTTTTAACTTTTCTACCATTGTCACCCTTATTGTTGCTTGACCTTTATCCCATAATACAGCTTTTCAAGGGAATTGCCTCAGAGGCTGATGTGATACTTAATGATCTTCAAAGCAACCTTTCCAGTCAAAAGAAGAAGCTAGCTGCATATGCACAAAAACAGCGTGAGGTTAGCAACTGGCAATTATTTTATTTCACAAACTCCAGTGTGTGTGCTTGGAGGCAAGCTAAGATTGTTGTAATTCAATTGATTGCTTTATTAAATTGTGCACACTACACAGGGACACTTTAGAACGGTGGAAGCCACAAGATCTATTTCTAAAATTACAGTAAACTTCTTCAAGACACTAGATATGCATGCGTCCAAATTGACCCAGATTGTTGAAGAAGCACAGACTGTAGACAACAAGAAACTGTGCGAACTAGAAAAGAAGTTCGAGGTGTTTCTTTTTCTCCTGTTTAATCCTGTCAATATGATCATAACTATTTATTTGCACCTGAAGGTCTGTCCTATCAATGAAGTCCAATTGCTAACAATTTACTTTGTTTCTGAAGGAGTGTGCTGCTAATGAAGAAAGGCAACTTTTAGAAAAAGTGGCAGAGCTGCTAGCAAGTTCAAGTGCTAGGAAGAAAAAACTGGTATGTATTCTTGTTTTTGTTTGACTTTATGGGAACATGATCTTTTGGATGTAGGAGAGATGCTGTGATCTTTGCTTTAGGGATATACTGAATCATTCTTTTTACCAAAACTAATATACTTGACCATTCTATTGCTTGTATTAGTGAAGCATAAAATAACCCGAAGAACTTACAAAAATGTGATGCATTCTTCAATTTCCATCCTTATTTCAGTTGCATGGTTGTTTACATCTTGCATAATCCAGCAATTGATGTCTGTTGCACCAGTGGCTGACAGGCTTCTGGCATAGATATAGGATAAACATATTGAAATTGTTTATCTTTTAAACACACTCAGATTAACTAAAATTAACCATAATTTTGATGAATGTATTCTCTGCATAGCACTTTCATGAAGAAAATATGTCTTGAAAGTTGTAAACTTTGAAGTTTGCTATCCAACCAAAGGCCAAAAGCAAAGTGTTAAAATAATTAACAAATGAAGCATATTGCATATGCTTCTGCCTTTTCTTATGTAAAAGTTTTTTAGTAACCCCTCTCTATTAGTGAAGGCTACATTCCATAATCAAAACAGTTTTAAGGATAGAGGATCACCAATTGCATGTCTTCTGTTACTTACCATGTTTAATAACGACTTCACTTTTGTACTTTTCTTCCTGGAATTGTAATGTCAGGAATCTAGGCTAGAATTGTCTGTTGTAATGGTCAGCATATTTCCGTTATCTATCAAAGGCTCTTTAATCAATCCAATAAGGCTATGTTTGGTTTGAAGGAAAAGGTAGGGAAAGGAAGGGAAAGGCAGGGAACCCTATACATGGTTTGTAAAGGTTTCCCTACCTTTCCCTACTTTTTCCTTCAAACCAAACACAGCCTAAAGGAAAAGAAAAGAAAAACCAATCCAGTGTTCACTCTGAACCAGATCAAGGAAACCAAAGATATTTTATTTTGTTATCAACAACAATTTAATTGTCTTCTAAGCAGTAAATTCAATTACTTTATCAGACACCATGCAACTAATGACAATGGTAAGGTTGACAGTAACAAGGTAAACATTTTTTGAGGGCATGGTAATGAAACGTCAATTATCTAGCTTCAATGTGAAGACAATTATTTTAGAGGGTGGGTTCCCTTCTGAATTATATATGCTTTCCATTGTTCAGGTTCAAACAGCAGTGGATGGTCTTCGTGAGAGTGCAGCCAGCAGAACAAGTAAGGTACAAGAAGAAATGTCAACAATGAAAGATTTCGCCACTTCCGTCAAAGAAGAATGGACAATTTACATGGAGAAAACTGAAACCAACTATCTTGAAGACACTGCTACCGTGGAGAGTGGGAAAAATGACTTGTATGAAGGTCTCCAACACTGGTATGGGGAACTCTTCTGACAGCTGATATTTTCCCTGTATCCTGTTTTACTTTCATTTTTCCATATAACCTATGCTTGTAAACGCTGTTCAACTGCCTGAAATTTCTATTGTTAAAATAATGATCAGCATGACCAAAGCAAGAATGGGTGCACAACAATGGCAAAATGCCCAAGATACTCTGCTTTGTCTAGAAAGCAACAATGTTGAATCTGTTGATTCCATCGTCAAGTGAGTTACTAATTTTATTGTCCAATTATTTATCAATTTGAAGATGCACTTGTTTTTCTTTTCTTGTCTTACATTTTGCGGTGGCAGGAGAGGAGTGGAAGCCAATCAGATGCTGCGTGCTCAGTTGTCTTCTGCTGCCACATCTGCTCTTGAGGACATCAACCTTGCAAACAAGAACCTTCTTTCCTCTATTGAACGTAAGTTTCTAGTTGCATATGAGCATGAGCATTGCTTTTAATTTCACAAGCAACGTTGGATAGAGCTTTCCAGGATATTTTATTACATTTCTATGTCACTATTGTAGATTCCTTGAAACTTGACCATGATGCATGCGGGAACATTGATTCCATGATTATTCCTTGCTGTGGAGATCTGAGGGAACTGAAGAGCAATCACTATCACAATATTGTTGAGATTACAGAAAATGCAGGGAAGTATCTTCTGGAGGAATACAAGGTAAACATCATTGATATGGTTTGGTGTACCACCTTTGCTCGTGTCTTCTTTTGTTTCTGTTCAAGTGTGTATACCTCTAATATATCTTTTGTCATCTAGGTGGAAGAACCAACTTGTTCAACACCGAGGAAAAGGTCATTTAATTTACCGAGCATGACATCCATCGAAGAATTCAGGACTCCATCTTTTGAGGAGTTGTTGAAGTCATTTTGGGACACAAAATCTGGTAAACAAGCAAATGGAGATGTCAAGCATTTACCAGGGGTTTACGAGGCAGCTCAGGCAAGAGATTCAAGACCACCTCTCACTACTATAAATTAAGGCAAAGGTGGGAAGAAGCAGATATGAAACAGCACTAAAGAATGTAAATATATGGCTCAAGTATCATTCACCAACCGATCAACGTTGATTCTCTATCATTTATTATTTTGTTGGTGGGGGATTTTCAATTTTTTTTTTGAACTCCTCTCTGCTTTTAACGAGTGCAGTAGGATTTACCAAATAAGTATTTTGGATGTTGTCAGTGTATTAAAAATGGGTTTGCAGATTATTACAAACTCTTGTCAGTATTATCATAAGTTGTCTCACTTCACAAATTGACAAGGTTGCATTGATGATATAAATTGGGTAAACTATAAATTGTCTTGTGTGCTTGTGTCAAGAATGTATGCCAGAGATTATTAACGTTGACAGCGCGGAAGGCTTTTTGGAAGACTCCCAGAGTGGCTTTATAGAAATTGGCACACCCCAACAGAATAGTTGTTTTGTACTGGACAAAGATGTGTGGTAAGGGTATTAATAATTAATAAAAATAATATTAATCATATTAATAAGAATTAAAAATGAGTAACCATATTAATGATAATTGATAATATTAACAGTCAGAGACAATCAATGAGTAAGTCCCAACTAAGGCCATGGATGTATAAAAAATCAGTTTAATTTGATTGACTTTCAACCATCTGATTTTGACATTCTATATAGAACTACTGCACTATTAGAGAAACTTATCTCCATTTTCTGAATGCAGTAACAACAGTGGACTGTAAACATTCTGTACAAGCTGATTTTCAACCTACCGGGTCTCCCAATTTAGGTTCCATCTGGTGGGTTCAAATGCTAGAAGCATGTGAAAGGTGGCAAGTTAAGATAGTCCATGAAGACCAAGATCCACATATGTTGTGTTCCTAGACCATAGAGAAGTCGGGAAAGAGTTATGGCAATTGGCACTCACAAGATATGCCAAATTACCAGGTTTTGAAGGATCACCTCATAGGGGAAAAAGAAATGGGAGAATGAATGATAGCTCAGCCCGGGGTCAGAATTTTTAGGTGGGTATTTGACATTTTGAATGTTTATAGATCTGGAGTGGAATTCAGAAATCTGCATTGGGTCTGTCCGCACTTTTCCGAAAAAAATTCATTTTCTTACTTTTTCTTTTTCTTAATTCTTGTATTTTATTAGTGCAATCAATTACTAGATCAAGATTTCTACAGAACAACATAAAAACTTCATAAATAGGTAAATAGATCCCTTTGAACTTGCCACTGAAATTAACATCTTTTGTTGTTTAATGAACCTTCACTCTTCAAATGTTATTCATTTTAATTTCTATTATCAATTTGTGTTGTGTTACTGTAAAGAATTAACATAAAAACTGAAGTAAAGAATAGTAAAATCTGAAGCAAAAATCAGAATTTGCAATCTTTTTTATTTGAACTCCAGTGTATTTGCATTAAGTGCAAATGAAATTACACTGAAAACAAATGGAGCCTTGTGCATCTAAGACAAAAATATTTTCTTCTAAGGAGAATCTGTACATATGGGAGTGTAACTCTGTAGTTTCTGAAAATTCCTTCCATAATACTAGGATTATTTCCATTCATATCTGTATCTTTTCTTTCTGAACATTGTTCTGATTGATATGTATATAGATAATCCACATCCATAGAACTACAATTTTTAGTTTATTTGTATTCGACAATAGCCTTGAAGGTTTGTCAATTGGAGTAGCATTTTCAATTTTGTAATGTATTTCTTTCACAATGAATCTGAAGTGAATCTTTTCGAGAACTTAAAAGCTTGGTGATGTAGGTGCTTTTAGCAAGAGATATTAAAGTACAAATAAGTCAGAAATGTTGAGAGGGACATAAAGAAATAGACTTAATTGATCAAGAGAATGACGATTCATGTAGAGGTCTCAACTCTAATATTTTTGTAGACTACTGGGACATGAAATACAATAACACTTCATACAACACATCAAAGATGATACAGATAAAAATCCTCCTTGAGGCAATTGGGTATTGCCTCCGCTGCAATTACCCTAGATGGAAGAAGAATCCTGAGGTGATGTTGAGTCCTGCTAAGTAAGCTAATAGCCATTGTGATGCTTTTTGCATCAAAGCTCAATCTAAAGTTTGACAAGTTAAATGGTGGATCAAGATATGCAAATGCAAATTACTGTTATATTTGGCATTAACCCAGCTCGGAAATTGGTAAAATTCTATCAGAAATCAAAAGTTGACTCTAATGGCATGCAACTTAAGCTAATGCAAAGTATCATGACTATTTATCCAACCTGAAAATTGATTGGACTGAATCAAAACATTAAATCAAAATGTTGACCCAAAGAAATTGAACAGAACAAAATATTGACCCAAAGAAATTTTCAATCCTCAAAGAAGGAACGTGTAATTTGTTGCATACATCAAATTGTATGTAGTCTTACATACAACAAATTGTACCTCAAAATCAAACACTATAAATTACAATCAATTTGACCAAAATTCAGATTACGCAAGACTGTTAACTATAATATTTATATATTGTGGACTTTCATGGTTTATTCATCCTTGAAGAAAATTTCAATTAGATACCAAATTCTTAAAACCTTTAAGAAAATTGAAGTTCCCTAACAGAAATTTTCAATTCAGATTACATGCTCAGCTTGACTGAGCCAGACAAATTTGGGAGTGTTGGTTGCATCTTTACAGTTGAACTAATAGGGTCCCAATAGAGGGAGAGACAGAGTTTGTGATTTAATTTTCACCAAGATTAGTATGTGAACCAATAATCAGGGGAATTAACATGAAGAATACCAAGTCAGATATCTATGACATGCATTTTACTTGGAAATCCAAACCCGAGTTAAATGGTTTGTATACATATCATGGATGTGGCCAAGACTTTGTAAGACTCAAAGATCTAGTTCATATTGCAACTACCCATCCAAAAAAAAAAAATTAAAAACAAATCATGTAAAGAAAAATATGCAGGTCCCATTGGTCATAGAAGGTTGCCCCTTTGCCCCCGGAAAGTAAGCGTAAAGATGGCTTTTGATTTTTAGGTAAAATGCTTGACAAAGTAAGGTTGCCTTTTTTCCATAATCATTGTCTGACAGCCTTTTGCGGGTTTTGGATGTTTGGGGAGAAAGTAAATTGCAAAAGCCCAACATTAAGCTCAGATCAAGAAGGATCTAAAACACTGTTTTTCTTTCTACAAACGAATAGAATATGTTTTTATTGTTTTTACAATTTTATAGATGAAGAGAAATTTTGTTTCCCACAATACATAAACATGTGGATATGTAAACATGTAACTAGTCACAAAGCAAAAGAATCGAAAAAGCACGTATTCATCAGTTGCAAAACAAATATGAAATAGGGGTAGGAGTAGACTGAGATGAGGCACTTACCGCCGGCGGTTCAGTGCAGCCGTGGTTAGAATTGCAACGACGAGTGGTGAAGTAGTGGTGGCCGGAGTTACAGAGGCGAGTGGAGAATAAGGGGTAGTGGAGGTGCTCTGTAAGAGAAGTTGGAACGGTAAAAGAAATTGAGTTTACCTTAGGTAAACATCATATGTAAAGCATGAGATCAGTCTTCATAGCATACAACAGGGTTGCATGTTTTGATCCACAAGAAAAACCCATGGATGAAAAATTAGCCCATCGTGGTCTACTGGCCAACCGAACGTCCTAAGTATCTCGTGTCATTCCACGATACTGAACACCACCTTAATGGAAACAAATTTGATATTCACAATAAATTCCGTTTGGTTCAAAGGTGTTCCATTCATCCAAACTCAATGATTCTTAGAATCACAAAATTCATCAAAACTAATCCCCTAAAAACTTTCCAAAGGCAGAGGCAGTCGGGCGTTTGTGTAGTTTGTACGAACTGCAGGCTTGAACATCCAGCAGTGACTCCCTTACCTAATGGAACAGTCTGAGACAAGATTCTTCGTAGAACAATTGGGGAAAATTATGGCATTCAGAAACGACGACAGAAATTTTGCAGGGATGTGTGCAGATTTCGAACTCTAAGCCATAGGGAAACGGACTCACAGAATTGCGTGCCAAAAGATTGCACTTCGTGGACAGTGATGGCAGTAATATAACCACGAATCAGCGTGGCGAGCACCTTTCGTCACATCCGTGGTCTTAGCTTTAGGTGACTAGGTCCAAGTCCAACATATAGATGAGGAAGTCACAAATCTGAACTTCACTCAATGTTTACTCAACTTCAGCTTCCGTCATTAAAACTTGCTCAAAGACAAAGTAATAAGCTGTTATAGTTGATCCACTTCAGCTGTGAGCCCCACGTTTACGGAAGAACTGAGCATCAGTCAACCTTATTCTGGGATTCCTCGACTTCGAGTCTGGGAATGCAACTTGGGGAGGACCTGTTTTCACCAACTGGTCGCACTCTGGCATATATGAGAGTAATAATACCCTCGTAAGAGAATGAACATCCTGCGAGGCCTGGAAATTAGCTGATTGAATTGATATTAACAAACGGTATAAATGGTTCCAAATCCCACAATTATTATCAACCACTTTCATGCTGTTTTACAGTTTTACTTCGAATGGTTTCTTATTACAAATTCAATTCCAGCTTCACAGCAGGTCCATTGTTACCCGTGAAACAGGGAGGAAGAACACGACAAAGAGAATGTCAGCCTTTGATTGAAAAGCTTCAAAGAGCACCCAGATTTGGGTTTGGGCTGTTTAGCAAGCTCTGGATAAGAAACCATATAGCAGTCTCTTCTCTTCAATGGAGACGTAACTAAAACCTAGCAAAAGGATTCCAACTGGAATGGTCATCTAGGCCCCCAAAGTCATGTTACTTCTTTTTGGATTTATTGCCCAACTATCATGGGAAACTATACAAACATACCATAAAAGAATAATTAAATTACAGTATAAGGCAGGAACAGACAAGGCTTAGAAGGAATACAGAAACAGATATGGCTTATATGTTGATATTCACAGTAAATGATAAATGCATTCAATTTCAGTAATGCATATCAAGGATAGATATTTACATATTATGCACTTCAAGAAATTAGGTTATATCTTCATTTCTTCTTTTCCAAAGGAAAAAAGAACGTATTACGTATCCAATTGAAGTATCTCAAAGTGGCAGATCATTGCAGAAGGGTTTCGCCCACTTTCTTATAGGCTCAATCAAAACGTTCCTTTAAGCAACTTATAAAATTATGAGCCTTTCTAAACATTTTGGTTTGGACATTCCTTTTCCTTCCCTCAGTCCCTTCACCTTTTCCATGGAGTCGATACAATGCTTGTGGCATCAAACTTTGCTCTGGAACATATTGATTGAGCCAAAATGCCAGGGGCCACCTAATTATCAAAAAAAAAGGCCAAGGGCCACCTGGCCACCTTAATCACACTGATCCCTCCAAAACGAAGTCTGAGATGTACTCAATCCTCCCCAAACCTCCAAAAACTGCTCTAGAAACTGTGACCTTGTTTTCTCATATTCCTGTCCTAATTCTTAAAATCCATTGGCGTCTGATGATCGAGGGTGCTATGCCAGATTTCCATTGGACACTCGGACGAGGAATGTAAATACGTACAATGAGCTACAATCTCACAATAGAGATTACATACCCCTTCTCCTATTGTCTGTATGATATGCAAGTGGACATTTAGGTCCCATTTGGCATCATTCCGCAGGAGTGTTCCTCGCGTTCCCAACGTTCCCACGGAACGGAAACACGTTTGAGGTGGGAACGGGTTCTTCTGGAGTGTTCCTTGCATTCCCAACTTGTTTTTTTGGGGTGACCAGGACGTCACTCCGCAGGAACGAGAAACTCGAGAACACATGGTTCCCACGACGTCCTCTTTAAGTTGTGAACAAGTGTGCTAGTTCTCCAGGTGTTTGCCGGGGCAAAATCATAATTTTGCGATTTCAGACATAAGAAAGCCCTAAGTCGAGCTGAGTAGGTTTCTTCCTTCTTCCTGCCGTCAACGGACTCCCAACCTCTTGCAAAGCTTTGACCAAGCTGCCTAGGTTTTTCTTGCTTTCAACAACCTAGACTAATCTCTTCGTTGTTATGTTTACTCATTTTCATTTCTCAACATCATTTCTGTGTGGTCCTTTTTTATTACTTTGAGGACATGCAACAATGCTTTGTATGTGTACGGATTTGAAAAACTAATCTCAAGATTCAACAACGTATCCAAACGTTGTTTCTGTTTCTTTAGAATAGAAACTTGCTCCTGAGGAACAAATTGCCAAACACTTGTGTCATTCCCAGGAACCAGAAATTCCATTCCTGTTCTGGAACAGGAATTTCTCCAGAAACAGGAGCAGGCAGGAACAATGCCAAATGGGACCTTACCTGCTGTTTTTTTTATGATGTGTTAAGAATGT